GGTAAAACTCTCGCGTGGTATTCACTTCAGAACTTGAAGTTCCGTTCGGAAGACGCGTAGCCGATCCTCTTCCCCGGCTGTGTCGCTCTCTGTCAGAGGCTTCCTGCGAACTTGAGTCGATCGCCGGATGCTAACGAAAGAATCGGCAGCGACAAGAGCGTAGGTCGCAAAAAAAAGCGCAAAAGGAAAAGACAAAATGGTGTGTGTAAAAGATGAGATCTAGCCGCGAGGGGAGAACGCGAGATAAACGAGGAAGAGGAACGAGCGGAGCGGAGAGATTGTAGTCATGTAACACGACGTCGATCAGAGATAATACAGTCGTCTGTGAAATGTGTGTTTAACCCCTTACGGTATGGCTCCGTGCACTATAGTCGTTCACCGGAGCCTGCGAGCCTGCATATATAGTCACGGATGTGCTCTTGACGAATATTGATTATAACGATCAAAGGTTTCGCGAGGCTTCTCTCTCTGACTATAGTTTGCTCTCTTAGGTCTGTACGATATCGATCATGATCATCCTCTAAGGCTATCGTCGTTTATAGTCGTCTACTATGGCCACTGGTTTCGAGTGGCTGCGTGGCTTATTTATCGTGCATCGAGAGTACGGAACCGCGTACAGGCTACAATAGCTTGTGCGCGCTTGTTCGAGTCTGCGAGTCGATTATAGTCGCTGATCTGTATCAACTGGTTCACCATGACTAACTTACATAGTCCGTAACTGAAAAGTCTTTCACCTAAGTTAACTCGTCGTCTATAGTCGACGACGGTCTCTGGGTACTTGTATACTTTCTGACTGTATAGTCGATTATAGTCGGCCGCCATTATACGCTTACTTAAGCTACAAAAGTTGGGTATAGTCAGCGAGTGATGTGTATATTTAGGACTCTTGTTGGCTATAGTCAATACAGTACCCGCGCTTCAAAACTCGAGGACTGTCGGCGCGGCATGACTATAATCAGCAAGCCGATACGCTTTTATATTCGCTTGCCGACTATAGTCGGCCAATCATGTATCGTCAGCGTTCGTCGATCTGACACGCTATACTACGTAATAAACCGCACGACGACACGCCGAGCTGTAACAACCTCGTTTTTACTATACATACTCTGTAAAGTAAAGTAAGCAACAAGAAACAGAAGGAAAAAAAGAAAAGAAAAGAAAAAAAACGTCCATAACGCACTATTAATCATCGAGAGCACCACCGTTCACCACCACCGTAAAACCGCCATACCGAGAGGGTTGCCCCGTTACTCGCGATTATACTAGGGAAAACAAATTGTGTTAATATACATACATAAATATAATTCGTGAAGAGGAGCAAGAGGAGTATCCGTGAGTGTATCAAATATCCGTGATTGGCGCGAGCGAGATTCGAGGAAACGGAGAAAAGGATAAAGCGGGAAAAGCGGAAGAACGTAGTTATTGGAAAAAAAAAAAAAAAAAAAAAAAAA